CACACACACACACACACACACACACACACACACGCACACACACACACACATGCTCACACTCACACTCACACTCACACTCACATCCACACACACGCTCAACCACCCAGCCTGTGGCCATCAAGTCGATCCACTACAAGAGGCTGGGTGTGCCCCAGGTGGTGGCGGGGCAGACGGCGGCGCTGGCCCTCAAGAAGGTCAAGAGGGCACAGGTGCGCCTTCCGTGGGGGGAGTGATGGCCGGGCAGGCAGGCAACAAGAGGCACAGCCGCTTCTGCCCGCGTTGAGCCACCTGGCCGCACGGCTGCATGTGATTTAGTGAGGCACGTTTTTGCCTTTCTGCTACTGTGATGAGCCTTCGCGCAAGCCTGTCACGTTCACATATCAACACGCAAGACACACGTCCTCTCACCAGCGCACCTTGTACTCAAGTGCGCATACACGCCTCCACATCTCCCCCCCCAAAAAAAAACCAAGGTCCGCAAGGGCATGGTGCTGCTGGACTCCCGCACCGGGGGCCCCTCGGGGCCGCGCGCGTCCTTTGAGTTTGACAGCGACATCGCCATCCTCACACACTCCACCACGATAGCGCCAAGATACCAGGTGGGGGGGCTCTGGGGTATCAGGGGACTCAAGGGGAGGGGGCTGACGGGCTGGCACATCTGCTTGCGGCTCCAGCAGCCCCCTGCCGAGCCATTGGTTGTGTCTCCGCGGGTGTGTGATTTGCCTTTTTCCCCCGATCATTTTCAAATATCCACCGCCTCATGTGCATTTTGAAGGCACGGATGCCACCCCTCCTCACGTTCCGCTGCGACCATGGCAGCCCAGCCTGCCCTCGTCCACCCCGCCATGCACCCCACCCCCACCCCTCCTCTAAAGGCGGTGATCCACTGTGAGATTGTGCGCCAGGCAGCCAGGGTGGTGGCCATGGACAGGGAGCACCTGCGCAGCGGGGACCGCGCGCGCATACGCTGGCGCTTCATACAGCACCCAGAGTGGCTGCAGCCCGGGACAAGGCGAGCAGGAGGCGGGCGTGCGGGCCGCGAGCACTGGTGCTGGCTGGGCGGCGGCGGCATGCCAAGAGTGTGGCTTCTCCGGTGCATTCTTGACTTTACGCTATGCGCCGCCGTCCGCCTCCATCTGCAACCCGCTGCCCCTCTGGTCTTGCGCCAGCACTCTTCTCATTTCCAACCTCCCCACCCCGCGCGTCCACCCCACAGGTTTGTGTTCCGTGAGGGCCGCACTAAGGGCATCGGCGTCATCGTGGCCTGCCAGGGGGACAGCCCCGACTCCTGGGACGACGCCGCCGTGCTGGCCACACCCCAGGGCCAGGGCGCGCCCACAGCGCCAGGGGCCGGGGGCGGCGGCCAGCAGGGGGCCGGGTGCGGCGCAGAGGTGGCCGCGGCGGCGGCGGGGGGTGGCGCCGCGCCCGTCGCGGGTTGCCGGGTGAGCGCTCCGTAAGGGCCGCGGTGGAGGGTCAGGGGCTTGGCACTAATTGGGCGGACTCCGGCCTGGTGCGGCCCCCCATTTGAGGATGGATGGGTTTCATAGGGAGTGACGGGCCCCTGCAGCCAGCTCGGCAGCACTGCAGCGTTCCATCATTGGGTGGGGGTTTCATGAGTGGGACTGGTGGACAATTACACATCGTGCCGTGCGCAGCCCGCCAGCTGCTTGTTTGCTCGGCTGCCTCCTTTATCATGGTTGACTGTACTGCTGCCCGTCCCAGCTTTGAGCGCGCAGACATATTGTGGTGTTGACGCAGTGCATCCTGGCACGCCCTTGACAAAGCCAGGCCTCGATACATACAGCGCGGCCGGACACGCCCAACAACGGCCGGCGCTGATCCCCTGCGTGCGTCCATGTGTTTCTCGTGCCGCCCTTCTGCCTGGCGGTTGCTTGCTAGGACCTTTTTGACTGTAAAACCATTGCGCTGTCTCTGCGGACCCGCCCTTCTGCGTACTGCTGTCCTGGAAAACGTTACATCTGCAAGAATAAGTGCGCATGCGGCCAAGATAAAACAAATTAATTTGTTACATTTAGTGCAATAGGACCAAACCCACCAAGTCCACGTCACGTGGCTGCTGCAGGGACATAATCAGGCATCAAAGTTGCACCAAGCCCTCCGCATGGATTCACCCATTGCACGCGGTCACGGCCGTCAGACACTCGGAGGAGGCCTGGTATACCAACGCTGCTCCACATTGGCATGGACGGCGCCGGCTTGAATACCATCCTCCCTAAACTGCTGGAAGCCCACAGAATTGGCCAGCCACCCCTTGGGGAGCAGGGACGCCTCAAACTTGGGAGGGTCCATCAGATACTGGGGCCCAGCCCCGCCAGCGCTAGCTGCGCCATCACCTGCCTGGCGGGCGGCGCGGCAGGCCGAGATACGCCGCCACACACACGGTGCCAGCGCCAGCAGAAGCACCAGGCCGACAAAGCCACCCACCACCGCCCCAGCAATTGTCCCAACACGCTTCTGCTGCGCCGCTGCCTCCGCAGCTGCGGCGGCTGCCTGCTGCGCTCCCAGCTGCTTGACGGCGCGCACTGTGGTGAGGTCACTGGAGGGGTCCGGGTCAATCTCAATAGGGGCCAAGGGGTCGACGCTCACCCCCGCAGTCAGCAGCTCCCAGCAGAGCTGCGTGGCGCACACGCTCCCCGCCTGCGCGGCCGGCTGGCCCAGGCGCCAGGCGTCAAGACTCGGCGTGGGGCTAGCGCGGCGCCACTGGGTCGTAGCCACTGTGGTGGCTGAGGCGAAGCCGCTCCCCTGTGTTGCATTCTGCAGCAGAACCCTGTGCCGTCCTGCTTCGCTGCCTTGGCTGCCGATGCTGATCAGCTGCCAGTCCTGGGGGCTGCTATCAGTGGCAAGGGAGGCCAGCACTTCAGGAATGGCAACACCATAGCCACGTGCCTGTGCGCCACGCAGGGCAGAAGCTGCGGTGCACACATGTGAGCGAGCATGATGTGTGAGCCTGAGTGGCGCTGAATTTCTTCAAGGGTTTTGCTGTCGATGCTGTTGCAGATTGTTGCCAAACCTGACGGTTCCTGCGGCAAACGGTGGCAGTGGTGGCAGGCCAGCGGGTGCTGGGTATCGCCCCCCCTCCCCCCTCCCTGCATACCTTGCAAAGGGATGCCGACAGTCACATAGGTGGCCTGCTCGGGCGTGGCCACCTGAGCCGCAGCCTTCTCAAGCGCCACTGGCAGAGGCACTGACAGGGCCTGTTGGGGTCGCGCAGGCGCTGGGGAGGACGCTGGCTTGACCTCCTGCAACACTGTGGTGGTGTTGGTTGACCCAGTGGGCTGCCCGTTTGTTGTCTGTGCAGCAGCTTTGGTGCCATCACTCCCGCTGCCACTGGTGCTGTTGCTGTTCTGGCGCTCTGCTGTTTGTTTCTGACGCTGCACTTTCTGCTCCTGACGCTGCGCTTTCTGCTCCTGACGCTGCTGGTTTGCCGCATCGCGAGCAGCCTTCTTGCTCGCTGCTGTCGATGCAGGCTGGACGGAGCCGTGGGTTGCGTTTTTGGCGGCCCCGTCGTCGGCGATTGAGTCGCTCTCCTGTGAGGTGTCGTCGCCGCTGTCATCAGAGGAGGTGTCAGCCGTGTCCTCCACCAGGAAGCGCCCAAGCGCGCGGGGGCGCCAGCTGGTGGTGGTGGCCGTACGGGTCTGAGGTCGGTGGGCCGCCGCCGCAGGGTTATCGCTGCTGATGACAGATTCAAGCTGCTTGTTTGTGCAACGGTTTGGTGATGCAGCACATTGAGCCCAATTACCGTCTCTCGCCTATGCCAGGCAGCGCAAGCAACCTGGGGCAGCTGGCACCAGAGTTGCAGTGCCACCAGTGCATCACCTACGCAGCTTGCTCTTGCAGGCCCGTTGCCTGTGAGCAAATACTTTGGGAATGGACCCCCCTTTGCTACAGGTCAGCAAGTAGCACGGTCCCTGGTTGCCCACCTTCAGCAGCACCCAGAATCCCGGGTCACCAAGCGCGGCTGAGGGGTCGCTAGCTGCTGCTGCCTCGTACGGCGCAGAAGGCTGCCCCGCGGCGGTAGCTACAAGATTGATACGGGTCGCTTCAAAATCCGCATTTACAGTCCATAGTTGTGCGTTCAGCGTCAGTAGGAACACGAATGCGTGCCACCACGCCCCAGAAGGCATCGTTGACCTCGCTCGCTTTTCACGACACCGTCCAATGTCCAACCGGTGTGCACATCAATGTGGAGAACAACATTTGACAGATTATTGAGATCGACATTCTGCAAGCTGGCATTGAAGGCAGAGGGTCAGCTCCTGCTGGTGGTGCGCTGGCCGAGGCAGGGTAGCAATCGTCAGCACCTACGTTGTGGGTAACCCCTGTGGCATTCTGTTGCTTGTGGCGCTTGCCGCTGCAGACGCAGCCAACAATCAAAACTGCTTCTCAAAGTGTTTCAAGCACTGAACAACTCGGCATGGGTCAAGAAGCCTGAGCATTGCTGTCAGGCTCACGATATGACATGCAGAGCGCTTGTTGCAATCACGTCACGGTAACGGCACCTCGCAACCTGCTGATGTGCGACATCCTTTTGCTCCCATACATGATCTACTGTACTGGTGGATGACATGTTTACTAATGGTCGTCACATTATTGAATTGATACTCCCTTATGCCGCTGTGGGCCTCCCGCTGAGGTTCGACGGACTAGCAGCCTGCAGTAAGCTGGATTGCTGGCACGTGATGCCGGCACACAACACCTTACTTGACAAACGATAACCAATCATGCATGAACAAGATCAAGGTGCTACCTCCCAACTATCTGCTGCTTCGTCAATGTTGTCCAGCCCCCAAACCAGACGGCACGAGGACTGCATGGATGGCTGAGCCGCTTCCGCTGTCAGAAGGAGATGCCTGCCCATCTGCCATGAACTTCACTTGCTTCGCAGGTGCGACACATTCAGGCATCGGCGCCGCCATGGCGCCGCCTCTGGGAGCTGGTTGCTGAGCGGCCTGCTGGCACCCATGCCGCGCCGCAACCGCACGGCGCCAGACGCACGGCGCCAGCGCCAGCAGCCCGACCAGTCCGACGAACCCGCCGACCACCGCCCCAGCAATCGTCCCGACGCACTTCTGCTGCACCGCTGCCGCAGCTGCCGTCTCTGCTGCCCGCTGTTCCTGAAGCTGGGCGCTAGCCCGCAAAGCCGTGAGGTCACTGGAGGGGTCGGGGTCAATTGCGATGGGCACAGAGGGGTCGACATCCACTCCAGCAGCCAGCAGGGCGGAGCACAGCTGCTTGACACAGAGGCTGCCAGGCGCCGCGGGCTGCCCGAGGCGCCAAGCGTCGAGGCTGGGCGTGGGGCTTGCTCGGCGCCATTGGGTGATCAGGGGCCCGGTCGCTGCCTGCTGCAGGACTGCCCTCCTCTTGTTGCCCCTGTCGCTGCCACCCAGCTGCCAGTCCGGCGGGGTGCTGCCGCTGGCCACAGAGGCCAGCACTGAGGGGATGACGATGCCCCAGCCGCGTGCCTCGGCGTCGCGCAAAGTTGCAGCTGCAGTTTGAGAGTAAGCAATGGGGATTGGATAGAGGCATGAGCGTGGAAGGAAGATGAAGCAGATAAGCGGTGCAGAGCGTGCTGCCACATCCTGCCAGCAGTTCTTCCTGTGCACAATGGGCTGCTGAGTTGGCACGCTTTCAGGCTGCGCACACAAACGGAGAAGTGTGCAGGCACGCACCTCTCAAGGGAATGCTGACAGTCACATAGGCTGCCTGTTCCTCTGCTGTGTGCTCTGCTGGCAGCACTGACGCATTTGTGATCGTTTGTTGCCCAGCGGCCTCAATTTGGGTACTGTTGTGCTCAGGTGCAACTGGGTAGTCTGTATGGTCCGGCACCTCAGGGTTCAAGACCTCAGGAGGTTTGTTGCTTGGGGGGGTTGTTCCGTCTTGCGCCTGGTCCTCATCGACAGGATCAGACTGAGCTGGCACTGGCTGCGGCGGTGGGGCTTCAGGCTCGGGCGACGCCGGCACGTCAGTCGGCGCCTTTGCAGCTGGCGTTTCCTCGTTGACCTTTGAGGCATCGCTGCTGCTGGTGTTGCTCTCACTTTTGTTATCACTCCCCAGGCCCACGGCGTTCTTCACCACGTCCAGCAAGTCGCTGGCAGCGCTGGTCACTGTGTCGACAACGCCGGCGAAAAAGTCGCCCACTTGCAGCAGCCGACGATGCCCGCCGCCGCTGTCCCTGTTGGCGCTTTTGCTGTAGAATACAAACGCTGGCAATTCCTCAACACTGACGATCACAGAGCGTGGGAGCAATGCTGCATCCTGCTGGTGAGGGCGGTTAGCGCAGCAGCCGCTGACAGGCCGTACGAACAATCGCACGGCAGGCACCCGGTCCTATGCAAGTGCCCTACGCCCATGCAGCGCACAACGCCCTTTGGTAAAAGGCTATCACCTGAACTTGTGATTTGGCAGGCGTACGGAGCTTGATGAAGCGGTGCGAGCCCCCCTGGTTCTCAGAGGCGAGTGTGGCTGCTGATGCAGAAGCTGGTGCGCCTGCTGCTGTCGAGCACAGGCAAGCGACCAGTGGAAGCACAATCAAGAAAACTTGAGCTTTTATAATTAATAAAGGACGACGCCAGAGGGCCATTTCAACAACTGACGAGCGATTTCCGAGGCACGGCGACTCGAACTGTCGGACCTGTGGTTGGGAAATGAGGTTAATGGACGATTCAAGAATAAAATGACCAAGTACGAAGCAATGAGGCTTGTGGTTTGGAATCCTTGTGCGCCTTGCGCGTGGGAACCTGCACAGCACGTGCGATCCGAGGCACCAACCCCAGGTGTATGTCTCCCCCAAGCACCGTGGGCGTCTGAGGTGTTCGAGTTTGTTTGTGCCTTGTTGGCTGTACGTGAGCGTACAAGAGCACCATCTACACACCTACAGGGGCCTCCAGTCCCCTCAAAGACGTTTTGCTGTGACTGGTGTTTGACGTGACCAACACGTGGTCCCTTCCGTCAATGTCGATGTCGAGGCCGCGAAAGCAGGCTTTGAGCAGGAAAGGCACCAGACTTTCCAAAAAATTACTTTCTGGCAACCTGTGAACGGGCACAAAGCCCAGCCCTAGGCCTTCTTCTTTGTCACCGCGCCTTGGCCCGCTGGCTCCTTGCGCACGCCCTTGTTGCCATAGACCAGGATTTGGCCCACCAGAGTGGCGTTCATGATGAGACCTTTAGAATATTGAAGCGAAGGGATTGCACAGAGAAAGAGAGAGTGTCTGTGCGTGTTTGTGTGTGTGTGTGTGTGTGTGTGTGTGTGCGCGCGCGCGCCTGCGCGTGCCCGTGTGTGGATGTGTGAGTTTATGCTTGCACGAGTGTGTGTGCACGTGTGCACGTGTGAGTATGTGGGGGGGGGGGGCGCATGCATGCATGCTTGTGCACGCACAGCCTCTTCGCTCGCGCCCAAACCGTTTTGATCAGCACAGTAGCACCTCTTTCAAAGCACCACCCGTGCTACCCCAGCGGCGCATGAGCCACAGTGGCGAGCGATGGCAGCGGCCCTGCATTTGCAAGCCCCCCTTCCGTTCCGCCCCGCACCGTCCCGCCCCCCCGCGGTGGCGCCTCACCCAGGATGTAGGAGCGGACCATGGCGTGAGCGCCCTCGTGCAGCGAGGTGAGGATCCGCACCACACAGCCGACGGTGTTGACGCCAAACGTGACGATGCTCAGCTGCCCGGTCGACTGCTCACTGAAGTTCTTCAGAATTTGGGGCACCCGCGCCGCCAGCATGATGAAGTTGTTCACGTCGTACAGCGCACCCACCTGGCTGCGGCTGGCGCGGCCTGGGCGGATTGAGGGGTTTGCATGGTGCGTGTTGGGTGCGGGTGATGAGGAGGTTGGCGGAGAGAGACTTGTAGGTATACTCACGAGCAGGGGACAGTCATGCCTGGCAGCAGGAGCAGCCAAGTTGCAGTTGCCGCGGGGTCCTCGTGATGGTTCCAGCTGGACAAGTGACTTTTGCACGGGGCGCTCAAACACGCAGGCACACGCACACACACAACGCCTCACCCCCCCACACACGCTCACACACCACGACCACGATCACGACCACAAGCGCCCACCTAATCAACCCTACCTGCAACAGCCTTGACCCCGCACCCCAAAGGCCCCCTCACCCGTTGCCAGCACCGCCATCGCGGCCACCAGCAGTCCCATCACAGTCGCGACCCGCGCTGCGGGCAGCCGCGCGTATCTGTAAACCAGGGCCAGCAGCAGCAGGTTTTGGGCCAGCATCAGGGAGGCCTCCCCGTAGCTGCTGAAGGGCATGGCGTTGACGTAGCCGTAGCCCGCGTGGACCAGCAGGGCCCAGGACTCGAGCTCGAACGAGGTGGCAGAGAGGCCCTCCGCGCTGTGGGCGCGCACCACGTTGGTGATCTGACGGAGTCATGGGACGGCGCACATACAGGCGGCGCGTCGGGCGCAGGGGTTCAGCTGGTGCACACGGGAGGCGGTAGCGTGGTTGGTGACGACTGCAACACATGACATGCAAACCTCATGAATAGCAGGACGTTGCGCTGCGCGACGGCTCCGCAGGGTAGCCGCCACCACCTGATGCTGCTGGCGGTGTTGCTGGGTACGGCGGTGAGGGGGCGTGCCGCCATAAGGCACACCCCCTCACTGCTCAAAGCTGGGAGGTCATCGGCCTGCGGCACTCTGTAGCTGCACACCTGTGGCACCTTGACGAGCGTGGATCCCGCAATGATGCCATAGCCCACCACCTAGGTGAGCGCACGGGGAGGGGGGGACCACAAGGCGGATGGCGGGATGGCAAACAAGTCAGGAGGGTGTGCAGGGAGGACACCAATATGCAGCTGCTTGGTAGTCACTTGACAACCTGTTGAACATCCTGATACTGGCTCGCTCACCAAGGGCTACAGGTGTCCATTGCAATCGCAAGGGACTGCTCCCTGCAGCTTTTCTAAGAAGCTGCTGCCGATGCGTGCAGCGCACACCGAAACGCACATGGCTACCTGGGCGGCCACGCGCGGCACGCTCCAAAGCACAATTTTCTGCAGGGTCCAGATATGAGTCCCTCAACTCAAGGCGGCATGGCAGCTCCCAAGAAGTGACACCCCCCCAACGGGCAACGCACCTTTGCAGCAAGGTTCTTGATCACTTCCGTCGGAGGCAAGGTCCCTGATTTCAGGGCATCTAACGAAACCTGCAGCAAGGACAAGACGTCCGCCATCGGTGCTGCTGGGTGATCTTTGGCGGTGTGATATGTGCCAGCCTGTGTGCCTGTTGTGGCAGCAGTGAAAGCAGATGGGCCAGAATATCACGGCACAGATGACTGCAAAGGGGATTGCGCAGCGGGATAAGAAGCGACGCACGCAGCAAGTCGGATATTGAGCCGTGCCAGAGTGGGGGCCAGGCGGGACTATTTGGTGAGGTGCCGCCAGTGCCACCAGGCGCAGCCTGCGCCACTCCTGAGGAGCAATTCTGTCACACCATGCAATGCAATGGCCTGTTGTCACTTGCAGCCTTAATATGCTACGGCCACTTGCTAGCCTAAGCAATCCAGGTTTGTGCATAACGTGCATTGTGTGCTTGCGCGTGCATGTGTGTGTGCTCGTGATGCACACGCACATGTGCCCACGCAGTATGACACTGCTTCGCGCATGCCTGTGCCAGTAGCCATGCGATGCGTCGCCGACCGCGTTGAGTGCAACTTGCTGACACCCACCACTCAGCCCACCATCAACTGCTCCTCTATTTTCCACATGATGCATGCTCACAAGCGCAGCTTTACAAGATGGCCCGGAGGGGGCAGGGGGCAAGACCATACATATTCTTCTGGTGCGGCAACTATCCTTGATAGGAGATGCAGGTCACAGGAATGACTGCGATGATGTGAAAATGGAATGTGACCGTGACAGACAAAAAGGCTCACAGCTGTCTCCAGCAGCTTGAAACAGAGGAAGCCAAAAGATAAGTGTTGAACTGGAATATGTTAGCACTTGCCGCACGGCGAGGCTGCAACAGGTGCCTGGTTCAAGACCACTGCCACAGCTGCCCCAGGCAGCGCCGCACCAAGGGCAGCCGCCAGACGGCTGCCAGGAGCACGCGCCTCTCCGGCAGCACTCGCCTCTGCAGGCGATGCCGCCGGCATCACCCACCAAGGCGCAGCCGCTCCAGCTGCAGCGGCAGCCGGCGCCGGCGCGACGGGGGCGGCCCCCGCCATGAGATGCTGCAGATGGGCTGGCAGGTGGCGCGCCGGCAGCTGCAGCGCCAGCGCCCGCAGCCCTGGTGCCGCCGTCATGGCTGCGGTGCCAATCCCTTCGGGCGTCAGGGCGCAGCCGTTGGCGCCGGCAGACAGGCGGCGCAAGGCACGGGGGGTCAAGAGGGCCGCCAGCTGCGGGTCCCCCAGCTCTGGCAGCCGCTGCACCGCGAGGGCCTCCAGGCGCGGGAAGCCGCCGCCACCCACCGCCGCCAGCAGGGCCGCTGCGTCCGCGCCGCCCCCACATGCCGCGCGCAGCGACACGAGTGCAGGCCATGCGCGTGGAGCCGCCGCCCAGCCATCGCGGCCGAGTGCACAGCCGGCAACGACAACCTCGCTGACAGCGGGGCCGGCGGCCGCCGACGCAGCCAGATCCAACACCTCGCAGCCCGTCAGGCGCACTGTTGTCAGTGCAGGCACCGCGGTGACGTCACCCTTTCCTGCGGCGCCTCCTGTCAGCCGCACGCCCTTGAGGTCCAGCGCGGTCAGGCCGGCGGGCAGGCAGCTGCCCGGCAGCTGTGTGAGCTCTGCGCCAACGTTGTGCACGGCCAGGCGTCGCAGGCCTGTCAGCGCTGCGAGCGGAGCCCATGCCGCGGCGGACGGCACTGGGCGCAAGTTGCCGACGAGCTTGAGAGACCGCAGGCCGCGCAGCGCACACAGCGGCGTGAGCGCCGCCGCATCCACATCGGCGACGGCAAGTCCAGGCACGACGACGACCGACTCGAGGGCCGGCGCAGAGCGCGCCACAGCCGCAAGCAGCGCCGCCAGCGGCACCCCGCCGGCGCCCGAGGTGGCCATGACGGCAAGGCGCAGGGCGCGAAGCGCCGGCAGGCGCTCCAGAGCGGCGGCGAGCTGCGGCGCGTCAGCTGGCGCCAGCGACAGCTGCAGCGAGGTCAGCGCCGGCAGCGCGTCCGCATGAGCATAAGGCACCAGCGCACGCTCCAGCCTGGCGGGCAGCGCCTCGACACCGACGCCTGCCACAGCAGCACCTGCTGGCGCGCGACGCGGCGGAGCGAGCTGCGCCACTGCATCAATGTCCAACAGCGCCAACCCCTCCTTAGTGGCGGAGCCGTCAGGTCCGCTCGCCCAGCGCATGGCGAGGCTGGCGCATGCAAGGGACACGTTGAGACGGCGCAGCTTCGGCATGACCGCCGCCAGGCGCGCCGCCAAGCCGTCACAAACGGCGGGAACAAAGCAGGCCGCTGCCCCTGCACTGCGGCTGCTGGTTTCAACCGCTGCCTGGATCGCCGCCACTGTCGCGCGGTTCTTGGGCGCCCACACGTCTGGCAGGCCTGTGACAGTCAGCGACCTCAAGCCACGCAGCTCGGCCAGGGCCGCAAGCGCGCCCTCGGCCGCGTCAAGCAGCTGCGCCCCAACGTGGCCAGAGCTCTCAATGAGCCCCGCAAGGGCGGCCGGCGGCGCCGCGAGCGTGGCGGCCGGCAGGGCGACGGTCAGCTCCTCCAGCCGCGGCAGCGTCACCAGCACGCGCAGCGCGGCGGCGGCGGACTGCAGCGGCGCGCCACCGGCCCAGCCGGCGCCCAGCTCCAGGGCGCGCAGCGACGACGCGGCGCTCGCAAAGGCCAGCGGTGCCAAGAGCGCCGAAGGATCGCCGTCGGCCGGCGCAGCCACTGCCACGTCAACGAGGCAGAGCTGCTCGACGCCGCCCGCGCCCGCGACACGCGCAAGACACGCAGAGGGCACCGCCGCCGCCGCCGCGACGCCCGGGCGAGCCGCGGCGCCGCGCAGCACGAGGCGTCGCGGCGCGCCGCGCGCAATGACGCGTGCCAGCAGCAGGTCTAAGGCCACCTCGGGGGCTGTGCCGTGAAGGAGCACCACCAGCTCTGGCGCATGTGCCAGGCGCCGAGTGCCGCGAAGCCAGGCGTCCACGTCGCCGCGAGTGGTGGAGGGCAGCAGGGTGGCTGAAATTGCTGGCGTCGCATCGGCGATGGCGGCGGCGGCGGCGCGGTGGGTCAGGCGGCACGCCGCGGCCGCTTCAGGGCCAGCGTGAGCAAGGACGGCCTGTGCGCAGGTGGGCAGTGTTGAGGGGGTGGCCGGGAACCAAAATTGACACAAGGGACTGTGAAGGGATTGAAAAAGAAGCCTAGACGACATCTGCGCGCCGCTGCATGTCCATGCAGGCATGCAGAAGCCAAGGGCTTGCGCGGCGCTGGCGGTGCGGACTGGCTGCGGCATGGACGGCCAAACGCACCTTCAAGGCCGGCCCAGGCAGGGCGGCCAGCATGCCGTCGCCCAGCTTTGGTGTGTACTGAACAAATAAATGTGCCTGACGTTGACGGTTGCCTGGCTTGCTGTGCTTGTTGCCTTGTCGCGGAGAAGTTTGCTTGTTGCTTTGATCGCTATGTGCGTAAAAGTCTACCCGCTGACATTCAATTTGTAACGATAAAGATGGCAATATTCGACTCGAAGCTACCTGCTGCGTTTCTGGAGACAGGAAGGGCATCCGGGAAGCAACCTTAGTCATCCTCAAATGATCAGAGTTGGGTTACTCGCTCTGCAGCCCCTTTCAATGGGTGAGATTTGTATCAATGTAAGTGTTCATGTCTGAAACTTCGATTCACACCCTGCATGGAAAGCCCTGAAGCTTGTAGCTGCTGCACTGGAGCAGCGGGTTTCAGGGTGTTGACCTGTGTTGGCCGGCCTGGAAGCCAGCCGGCGATTGTCATCAGTGGTCAGCACCTCACGATCTGCTCTGGGGCCCCGCGCCGTCGCCCCAAATACGGCTGCACCCACCCTATGCAATTTGGGCTGTGGCGGCGGGTAGCACAACACTGCCCCCTGGAACCCCTTGCGTAGGTGGGGGGGGGGGGGCGCAACCCCCCTTGGCCCAGTGGCTGTGCGCCATCCACGAGGCTGTGCATGCGCTGTGGCGCTTGTGGATTGGGAGGCTTGGCTTTTGGCACGATCCTCAGTGAGTGCTGTCAACCGCTATCCAAAGACACGTGTGTGCAATGCGGCCTGAACCCCTCAAACCACTCAAGACCCCTCTTAGTAAGCATGTATGCGCGAGCCCTGTACACTAGGCAACGCTTGACTGGGCTGGAAGATAGAATTACAAGCAGCTGGCAGCGCCCACCCCAGCCTCCCCTGCAGCCGTCTTAGTCGAGGCCCATTGCCGCTCCGCGCCTGCTCCGCCGCCTGCGAGCCTCGTCGCCTCTTCTGCCTCGCCCGCAGCAGCGCTCCCCAGCGTCGCGAGCGCGTCGCGCGTCTCGTCCGTAAGGCTGCGCGCCATGCTGGAGGCTGCCTTGCTGCTGCGCACCTGCGGCGTGCTGCCCCCGTGCTTCTCAGCAGTGAGCGGCCAGCGCGGCCGCAAATCCACCCACTCCTGCTCTTCCCCTGCCGCCAGCTGCAGTGGGCCTAGGGGCGGCTGGTAGAGCCCCAGCCGGTACCTGCGGCGATTGGGGGTACGCGTGGCTGACAAGAGAGCAGGCGGAGCTGTCGCGCACAGCAGGCTCTACGGCACTGGGGCCGTTCCGCCACTTGGCTTCACCTAAAGTCTCAGAGCAGCATCGGTGACCGTGGCTGCAGCAGCAGCTGCGCCCATGCAGGCGCACCTCTCTATCCCGGCCCACGCCACCATTACACCGTTGTCAGTGCACCACCGCGCAGGGGGCACTACCAGCTGCAGGCCGGCAGCTTCCGCCACCTGTGTGCGCGTGGGTACTTGTGTGAGCGGGAGGCCGGGCGGACCGTGCAGGGCACACAACCACGGCCAGCTTGTGCGTGTTCATGTCTGCGCAGCCAAGATTGATGGTCAAAGCAGCCAGGTTTCTGCAGCAGACTTTGGCGCCGCAGAGCCCCTGAGCCCCTCACCTGCGCCAGCTGCTGCCTGATGTACTGGTTTGATGCAACGCCGCCCGCAACCACCAAGTGCCGCAGCGCTGCAGCACTGCCGTCCAGCCCGCTGCCGCTCCCGCCATCGCTGCTGCTGCTGCTGCTGCTGCTGCTGTTGCTGCTGCCGCCGCTGCCAGCGCTGCTGCCGCCCTGCAGTGAGTCCCGCGCCCAGCCTATCCCGCGCCGCACCCTCTGGCACAGGTGCTGTGTTGCAACCGACTGGAATGATGCAGCGATATCGGCCACTGCCTGCTGCCGCCCTGTGGTGGACGCGAGCATGGCGCGAAGAGGCGGGATCGCTTTGCAGGGCGCACCCTCTGCAACGAGCAGGGGGCTATTGACAAGGAGACCGCCGCCTAGTCCATTTGCAGGGCCGAAGATATGCGGCACAATGCTCCCGCTCTCCGCTCCCCGCTCCGCCCCACCTTGCTTCCAACTCACCCCACTTCGAGTTACCTCACGACTGACCACACCCCACCCCTGACATACCCCACCCCTTCTCCCTTTGACCCACCCCACCCTCTCTCACCAGGGTCGCCCTCTGGCGGCAGCTCGCTCTCAATGCAGAGCCGCACCCCCGTCTTGAGCCCCGCGAACGAGAAGTCGCAGTTGGCGTGCTTCTGCATGGGCACGGACAGCGCGTAGCGCGACGCATCGCCGAGCCGAGCGGCGGCCTCGAGCGCAGCGCCCCCGTGAGGGTTGAGCTCCAGGCCCAGCATGCGCGCCACCTTGTCGTACGCCTCGCCTGACAAGAGTTGGCAGGCGGGGCATGCTGGGCTGGGCTATGCCGTCATGAGGAGCCGGTCCCACAGGGGAGACCAGCCGCTGGCCCGCGGGTGCCGCCCGCCGTGTACGTGGTTTGCCATCCCGCTGTCGCGGCGCCCTTTGCGGCCTGCTGCCCGTCGCTGCCCGCGCGCAGCCTCGAGCAGTCCCGCCCCTTGCCCCTCGCCCCCCCTCACCCAGGGCGTCGTCCAGGGTGGACCCCAGCTGCAGGTAGTCGCCCACGCCCCGCACCACCACCAGCAGGTTGTGGCCGCCAGACACAAGCAGGCACAAGAATGGGAACGCCGGCGCCGGCTCGCCGTCCCGAAGCACGCCGCCGCCGTCGCCGCCGCTCGCTGCATGCGCCGCGAGCCCCGCGAGGCGCGCCACGAGCGTGTGCGCCTCCATGTGGTGCACCGGCACCAGCGGCAGCGCCGCCGCGCGGCTGACTGCGCGCGCCTTGCGCACGCCGACGTCCAGGCACAGGCTGAGGCCCGGCCCCACGGTCACCGCGACGGCGGACAGGTCGTGCTGCGACAGGCCGGCGCGCGAGAGGGCGTCTGCAACGACGCGGTCGATGGCGGCGGCGTGCGCCTGGGACGCGAGCGCGGGGTGCACCCCGCCGTAGGGCGCGTGGATGGCGGCCTGGCCCGCAATCGCCTCGCCCAGGACGCGGCCGTCGCTTGTTACCACGGCCGCTGCAGTGTCGTCGCAGCTGCTTTCAATGCCAAGCATCAGCAGCGGCTGCGGCAAATTGTTATGGCTGGTGTCTCGTGCGGCGGCACGCGCAGCAGCACGGTGGCGGTGCACGGCTGCCGCCCAAGCGTACAGGCGCGGGAACGCTTGCGTGGATGTGGCAGCTGGTGGCATGCCGTCAGCGAAACGTGATTGTGCTGCTTTGGAACCCCGCTGGCTGAAACCAGAGCTCCGCGCGTGGGCGTGCATGGACTTGAGTCGCATTCAAGGCTGGCTGCTGTGTCAGAGTAGCTCGGCCGCATTTGTAGCTTTGTGTTGCCGTACATTTGGTCCTCGCCATCAAGGGCCAAGCAGCAGGTTGCCCACAGGAGGTGTGCCCAGGTGACTGCGGTTGACCGCCCCGCCATCCGCAGTCTCACTCCTTGCCTGCACTGCAGACGGGGGCCCCATACTGTGTCTGCAAGAGCTGGCGCTCATTCTAATTGCACTGACTGGGCTCTCTGGGGAGAGGCTGGGTCGTCCACCCGGTGTCCTGGGAGGGTGTCCCTTTCGGCTACTGTTGCCCATGCCCGTTGCTGTCTGCCGAGTTGGCATGGACGCAGGGGAAGAGAGACATGCACACCGAATGCGTGCTACATGGGTGGCTGTATGGTTGCAGTGACGTGACATGGTTTCCAGCAAGCCTGCACAGCGCAGCGCAGGGCAGGGCAGACGGGCCTGCGGCGCTCGCTGCTCGGCACCAACGATATTGGCACATTCGTGACCGGCAATGGGGCAGAGCCAGCAGGCGAGCGCAGGCACCGCCTCAATCAGGACAGACCGCTAAGCCTAGCCTGCGCGGGTGCGCGGCACGCTGCTACACGACTGCATAGCCACAAGGGTTGTGGACTTGGCCTGCCGAAATTCAAGGATGGAACAACAAAATATATGCTGAGCAAGGCAGTCCAATGGACCCCAAAACGGGCTGGGCCTGGCGGCAAAATGGGCCGGCCAGGCGCCAGCGCGGCCCAGCAACTCTGCAGGGCCCGCTTGTTTGGAGGAAGGCGGATGTCGCGAGGGCGCCGGCCTGTTTGTGCACACCAGGCGCTTCCTCTCAGCCTGGTGCAGGGTGGCGGACAGGATGACACATGGCCAGCCCCCTCGCCCGCCTCCGGTGAAGACAATCCACGTGCGGCAGATTCTGGCTTGAAAACAGTTGGATATGCTTTGGCCGCAAGGTTGACTCAGCAAAGTCTTCAGCGGCTAATCAAAAAGTGTTGTCAAAATCGACGGTGTGCAATACAATCTGCGCAAGACGGCCGCGACGACGCAGAACGCTGCGCGGCGGCCATGCCTGCAATGGCCGCGTGCGCCTGGCAGGCCAACTCAACCGGCTGCTGCGTAATCAAGCAGCACGAGGTCCACAGCAGCCCACCCAGTATTCGAATTGGGAGCTTGGGCGCGCAACAGCACCCTCACTCCTACACGCACCGCGTATCAGAGTGGCGCCGCGTCGGCCCGCTGTGCGTCATTCGCAGTGCCCAGCAGACAAAATGAGTTGCGCATGCAAGCCTTGCGCATGTGCTCACACCTTGTCTCTGCGCAGGACCAGGTCATTTGCGTGTGCTTGCCCTTGCACCTGCCTACAAACCACCTTGCATCACAAAAAGCAATGGGATGTGTTCCCTGTGATCAACAACAATCAACAGCCCCCCCGTTGCGCGCGCATGCAACGCGCTGCAGCAGACTGAGGTTCCTTGACCACGGTGAAGGAAGCACGAGCGTGGGCGCGTGCGTCGTGCGATGCGCCCGCGGCCATGCAGGGCCGACCCTGCCGACCCAGCGCGGCGGGGCGCGGCGGCGCGCTGCGCCCGTGTGCTCGGCCCGCTGCGTGTGCTCCAAACTTGTTCAGATCAATGCCAACAAAAGGATCCCGACATCGAGCCGTGGCTGGTGTAAGTGGCAGTTGGTTGCCAAGCGCCCGCGTGCAGGCCCCGGACGCGGACCCGACAGAAATGAGGCGTGCAGGCGGCGACAGAATGTCGATGCACCCGCTGGTGCCTTGACCTCCAGATGTTCCGTCCAACGCGCCGCCCGAAACGCGTGGGCCCTGGGGCAGCAGGGTGGCAAGCGCCCCCGCAGTGGCGGAGACCATGCGGCAGGTGGTGCGACTGGTGCCGGGCAGGGCGCAGTGTTGCGCGAGTAATCGGGGGCGACCTAATCGCAGCGCTCTCGCCGCGCACTGGGCAGCAGCATCAACGGGTGGGCAACGTGTGGGTGGGGCGATGCATGAGCGGACGGATGATCCGAGGTGGGATGGGCCGCGCCGTGCGACAGCGGCAGCGCGGCAGGATGGCAAGTGCGGTGGCAAGTACAGTCCTCTGATTAGTCAACCGACGGTTTTCCACGCCGCCGCGGACACGGGCCCTCGCCCCTGCTGTCTCCTGCAAGAAGAGCACGGAGCGGCGCCCACGCCCACGTAGCGAGGATATTGCGCGCGCACGCGCTGGGATACTGTTAAATATCACATAATTGAGGATCAGGGCAGACCCACGAGATGGGTGCGCCTCGCTCTGCCGCGCAAGTGCGGCTGCGGCGGTGAGTGCGGCCGTCGCGACCGTGGGGCGGCGGCCCATTATCAGTTTCATCATGACAAAGGGTCATTCCCAAGTTGAGTGCGACCTGTGCGGCACAGCCGCCGACGCAGCCCTCAGGGCCGCTGGTCGCGTGAGCAAGAATCTGCGGCAACGGCAATCCCGTCCACGGCTGCCGCCGCCGCCGCTGCAGTGGCCTGCAATGCGGCGGCCGCATGAGCAGCTCCTGCACGTCCCGCAGCCGCCGCTGCACGGCGTCGTCGCGAGCAGCCGCCAGCAGCGGCATGACTTGCGCCGCACCGCCCGCCCCAGCAGGCAGAAGCGCCGCTACTGGTGACCCGCAGCAAGCCCCGCCGAGCAGCAGCTGCGTGCCGTCGGCAAAAACCGCCTGCAGCGAGCCGTCGCTCATGCAGATGCCCATGAGCAGGGGGCCCCCCGCCGCCCGCACGACGCGCGTCACGTGCGCCGGAGCGACCTCGCCCGCGGCGTCGCACGGCGCGGGCGCGCAGCCAGGGGCAAAGCCGTCTGTCGGGGACGAACCCCCGCTGCCGCTGACCGCAGCCGGCTGAATCAGCCGCACCGCCTTTGGGGCAGCGCCACTGCTGCTGCCTCTGCGGCTGCCGCTGCCCTTGCCGTCCGTGAGTCCCTCTGCGCGCCAGGCGCGGCCGTGTGTGAGGCAGCCAGCGAAGCGCCCCACGAGCGCGCGCTTCTTTGCCAGCCGCAGCGGCAGCGCAACCGACGGCGCCTGCGGCAGGGCCAGCCATCCGCCGTCCGCGCGGCTGCCGCCAGGCCGCTCCTCGCAGTGGCTTGGCAGATACATCAGGTCGCTGCCGCCGCCGCTGCCGCCGTCGCCGCCGCGTAGTAGCATGTGGCTGCCGTCATTGAACGCGACACCCACCGTCCCGCAGGCGAGCGCGTAGCCAAAACCGTACCGGCTGCAGTAATCCACAAAAGCCACCACCAGCGGCCCCTGCCACGGCCCGCCACCGCCGCCGCCACCGCCGCTGCTGCTGCTGCTGCTGCCGCCGCCACTTGCCCCACCACCGTCGCCGCCGCCCCTGTTGCCACAGCCAGAGGTTGGTGTCGCCGGGACGCGCGCGGCGGGCTGCATGTACTGTGCCCGCATCCGCAGCGACGGCGAGCGGCACGGCGGCTGCACGCGGCTCGGCGGCGCCGGCGACGGAGGTGAGAACGTTGGGACGCCCCCGCCGCTCCCGCCGGCGCCGGCGCCGGCAGGGTCGTGCTCCAGGCCCCAGCAGGGCCGCGTGATCAGCAGCTGCGGCGGCCGCGCCCGAGGCGGCGCGTCAGCCGCCGGGCCGCCTACGGGGCCGTCCCAGTCTGCGGCCCCGGCGCGCTCCAGGAGGGCGCCGCTGCAGTCGCTCGCACGGGGACACGGCGGCACGCCGCCCCAGGCACGGTCGACGGCGGCGGGGCCCTCTCCGACAGCGCCGAAAAACGCCGCTCCGAGCAGCGCGCTCGCGGGCGGCGGCAGCGGCGCGTACACCGCGTGGGCGGGGCTGGGGCGCGGCGTTGGGCAGAGGCTGCGGCCAGCGGGGCCGGGGGCGGAGGGCATGCTGTGGCCAGCGGCCCTGGGGCTGAAGAAGCGCTCGTGGGGGGCAGCCCCGTCCAGCGACTGCCCGACAGGGGGCGCCGCAAAGCTGCGCCCCGCCAGGCGCCCGTGGCGCGCCGGCGACGGCGGCGGCGGCCCACACGGTGACGCCGGCGGCGCGGGCGAGCGCAGCAGGCGCGGCGGGTGCGCGTGCTCCGCCTCCCGCGGCGCGGGCTGTGGGGACAGAGAGCCATCACGGTGGGCTGCGACTGCAGCCTCGCAAGCAGGGGGCCGCCCCGCAGACCAAGCCGTCACCAAGTGCCCACCGCCGCCGCTGCTGCCAGCAGGGCCAAACAGCAGCCCACCCAGCGCAGCGGCCACGGGGCTGCGCGGCTGCAGCGCCGGCACGTCGCCGGGGCAGGGCTGCGGCGGCGAAGAGACGGTGGCGCCGCAGATGGCCGGGGAGAACGGTGGCGAGCGGCGCACCGTCACATGCTGGCGCGCCTGCCCCTGCGCCTGTGTCTGCGGCTGCGAGTGCTGCCCGGCTGGCTCTGCAAACTCCAAGATGGGTGCCGAGCGCGGCTGCAGTGAGTGCTCTGCGGGGCGCGCGGCCGCAGGAGGCTGCATCGACAGCAGCACCGGCGGCGGCAGCACCAGCTGCGTCGCGGGCGAAGCTGAGGATGTAGGCGATGGGGACACGGCGCCGCTGCTGTTGAGGCGGTGCGTGCGGTGGCGCTGCGTCGGTTGCTGCTGCAGCTGCATCGGGCTCGGCGGCACCGCCGGCGGCAGGGGGCTCATCGGCACGCGCGGCTGGCCGCACGGCACGCCTGCGGCACGCCCAGTCCCCCATTGCGAGCCACTGTCGGGCTGAGCGCTCCAGCTGCGCTGCTGCGGGGACCCGGGGCCGACGGCAACCCCCAGCAGCCGCTGCTGCCACAACCCCGCGTCTGCCGGGAGCAACTCGACGGGCGAGGCCAGCGCCGCGTCCGGCGGCTGCGGCCCCAGGCGCAGCAAGGGGCTGACGCCGCCAGCGCAGCGCCACATCGGCCCCCCGGCGCCGACAGAGGAGACGCCTAGGGGGCTCTGCAACGGCGTGCAGCGCCCAGCGCTGCCTGGCCCGCGCTCTGCCACTGCAACGTGACCAGAGTGCGGCGGGGCAGCCAAGCTGCTCCAGCCATGAAACGACGCCGCCGACGCGTCCGCGCCGGGGTCCCCTGCAATAGCCGCGCCCGCCCAGATGTCCCGCGCTACCACACGGCGTCCCGCCTGGCCACTGCTGGCGCTGCTGGCGCTGCCGCCGCTGTCAGGGCTGTCGTTGAGCACGGCGGCGGCGTCAGCCAGGGGGCCAAGCGGCCCAGGGCCGGCGGCGGTGACGCCAGCAGTGATGAAGTCGGACGGCCCCTGGGTGCCAATGCTGGGGGCGGCGGACATGAGAGCCAGGATGGCGTTGATCTCATCTCGCCGCTGACTCTCCTGCTGCTGCTGCTGCTGCTGCTGCTGCTGCTGCTGCTGCTGCTTGGTGTCCCCTTGCGGTGAGGGCAGCACATCGCAGGGCTCCTCCTGCACGGCCTGCAGCTGCTGCTGATTGCCGCCAGTGTTGGCCTGCAGCCATGCCTTGGCAGCGCTCGGGCTGCAGGGCGCGGCACTGGCACGCACGACCGCTGGTGAGCGGCACGCTGGCATGCGTGCCGCCGGGGGGCTCGGCGAGACGGCCAGGCGGCAGGGGCGCAGCTGCGGCGCTGCCTGCTTTGTGGGAGCCGCAGCCTGTTGTCGATGGTGGGTCGCAGCCCCCTCCTGGTTCTCCAGCAGCTGCTGCGGCTCCCGCGCAAGCTGCGCCAGCTGTCGCCACCAGATCGGAATGGCGCCCGCTGTGCCGGTTGGTGGCCGCCCGCTGTCGCAGGTGCGAGCCGCCTGATCGCGGTCCCCAACCTGCGGACTCGCGCCCCCCTTGGCGGGCCGCCCGGCCCCGGCCCGTGAGGGGCGTCCCACGTCTTTGGCCTGCCCAACCTCCGCCGCCCACTCGGCCCATGCAGTTGCACCACCACCGAGCGCGCCTGCAGAGGCAGCGGCGCCGAAAAAGCTGTCCCGGCGCGCCGTTGGCGAGGCCAGGGATGGCGACGACTCAAGAGAGACGTCAGACTCCCCGCTGGTGTCAGACCCCGAATCGGAGCCTGCGCCGCCGCTGGTGTCGTCGGGGGAGTCACACAACACGTCTGTCGCCGCTGGGGCGGGGTTGCCTGCAGCAGCGCGCGCACTGAGCAGCTTGCCGAAGGTGCCAGGCGGCAACCACCTGTCAGTGGTGAGGCGGGCGTGGACGAGTAGGCAAGCGCTCAAGGGCCTGCCATATAATCAAGCACACCTGCTTGAGGAGCAAGTGCCTCTCTGATCTAAAGAATTTCAGCCGGCAGCAGCAGCGGCTGCAAAGCGCCGTCGACGGGGCCCCTGTGCCCTGCTAGATCTGATTGCACCAGTAAGCTCACCCTCCGACATCCGACGACACCTCGCGCGCAGCATCCCCACTGTCCGCGACTGCTGCCGCATCTGCACCTGGCTGACCGCGGCCGCTGCTGCGTGCACTACTGTGCAGGCCCGCAAAGAACGCGTGCTGCTGCACCTCGCGCAGTGTGGCGCGCTGTGCTGGGTCGCGCGCAAGCATCCGAGCCACGAGGTCGCGCGCCTCCGGGCTGATCGCCGCGCTGTCGGGGAAGCACCAGTCCATGGCGCGTATGCGGCTGTAGGTGCCCTGCACATCTGGTGCCTCAAAGGGCGGGCGGCCAACCAGCATGGCAAACAAGCTGCAGCCCAGCGCCCTGACAACCAGAATCCAGGAGCGGGGCAATGGACAACGGGCAGGTGAGATTAGGTGACAGGATTCAGTGGGCGCCTGATTGCCTGCGCACACCCCCTCCTGCACACACACGCGCGTTGTCAATAGGCATGCCGCACCAGCCACCTTCAAGCTGCAGCAGTCGTCTCACCATATGTCTGCAGCAACCAACCCGCTTGAAGCTCCCGCAGCATCGCTGCCGCCGGCTGCCGCCGCTGCGTCGTAATCAGCTCCCAGCATTTCAGCAGGCATGTAGTTTGGCGTGCCGCACAGCAACAGGCCACGCTGCCTCCGCTGCGGCCGTCGCTGCTGCCAGCCCCCGGAGGCTCTGTCCGGCTTGATTCGTGTCGACGCCCCAAAGTCCCCAAGCTTCACAGCGCCACGGGCGTCAAGGAACAGGCTGAGAGGGAACAGCGCAGGCGGCAAGGAATGTGGGACAGGCGGGATGGTGAATATGCAGGAATAGCAACACCCTGCCGTCATGCCGTCTGTGGCCACAGTTCCCAACCTGCGCTCACTTTGCCAGCTTCAGGTCGCGGTGCACGACGCCGTGCGCATGCAGGTGGTCGACGGCGTCCAGCGCCTGCAGCATGACGCACCCCGCCTGGGCCTCGCTCAGGGGGCCCAGGTGCTTGACGGCGTCCGCCACAGTCGCACCGCCTGCGTGCAACGGGCCGCCGCCAGGTCAGACTTACATCAAACGATGCCCGCTGTTTCAACCCACCTGGCCAGCTGCATTCAACCAGCAGCTCAGTGTGGTGGACGGCGGTTGAGGCAGGGCCCGAGGGGCCTGCCACTGCAGCACACAAAATGTCGCGCCCATCGCGTGCCTGTGCCATGAAGCCACTCACTGCAGCGCTCCAGCACTAGGTAAGTGTTTGCATCGTCCTCAGCCACGGCCAGCAGCTGCACGATGTGACGGTGCCGCAACCCTGCGTGCAGCTCCAGCTCCCGCCGCACCCTTCGTGCGCCGGCTTGGCTCCCATGCTGCTCCTTGCTCACAGCCTGCGGCGCAGTGGTGGTGGCATTGAGCGACAACATAAAGGTTCAGCTGTCTGCTCATCCCATGTCACCCCGGGCATGCGAGTGCCCCGCGGCCCCTCTGCAAGTGCCCAAATATGGTGTGTGAGCCCAGACATGACAACAGCAGGTGTTTGGGCCCTGCTGCTGAGGCCCAACGCCCAGCTGAATATGCTTGCACCTTGATGGCGACCAGAGAACCATCCTGCTCGCTACGATAGGTGAAGACGCGGCCACAGCTGCCATGACCCAGCAGCCTGCGAACAGCGGGCAGCTGTCGTCGTTCAAATGCTGCCAGGTGCTTGCCTTGCAAGCAGCCTGGTCACGCCCCTCCGTGCCAACCCTTGAACCGTTTTGGTCAGGTGCGTGAAAATGTGGTTGCCCATGTGCAAGCGCTTGAACTCTGATGACGCCTGCGATGTGTCCCTGCCAAGTCAATGCGATCGTGGCCGTCGCCCTTGCAGCCATTGCCGCACGCATCGATAGGCCGCGACACTGCTCGTCCCTTAACGCACCCGCACTGCGTGTAATGCACGACCGTTCCTCCTTCGTAAAGCGCCAGGGATTCAGGCGTGGCCTGCGAAGCCCGCGCAAATGAGGACGCCGTTCCAACGGCCAGCGGTGTGGTGTCTGGCGCAGTAATGAAGAAAGCTCATGCTGTGGCCCCGGATATGCGGTCCACCCGCTCACCACCACGGCGCCACAGGATCCCAGGCCGTCCATCCCTGGTGGACAGAGCGCGGGGCACCACGGGCGGTGAGACTCCTACAAACTTGATTCTATCTTCCGTAAGGAGCTACGGGCCCAGCACAGGGGCGTAGATCGCGCAGCATCACCATCCGAAGGTGTTTATGATCGTACGCGTTTTTGGAACAATACGCGACCGCGCAAACAGCAACAAATGACCTGCGACGTCTGTTTTGAGAAGGTGTCTTGTTGTGTTCTCGAGCCCCTGTCATTGCCCGCAAGCTGACGGTGGTTCCTTTTCTTTTCGAAGGCCGCACGCCCCAAATTGGTGGGGCGCTGTGTGTAGGGAGGTGAATAGCAACGCATAGACCAGCAGACGGAAGGCTCGCGGCGCTGTGTGCCGAAGGGACGCAGCGCTTGGACCGCAGCGAGCTGAGCGCTTCAGCAGACAGCCGCTTTGCGAGTGAGCCCGAGGCAGGGCACGCGGCGCAATGGCGGCTCTTGTGTTCAAAGTAGGAGCGTTGGCCATGAAGACGCTTTCAAAGCCACTGGCGGACCGGTTCAAGACCTGGGTCATGGCTCACCCCCACTACCGGCGTGGTGTCCTGCGCATGGCCGAGGTGCGCGGCACGGCTGCCGCCGACTCTGAAGAGAGGCTGGCTCAACGACCAACGGCGACAAAAGACGCTCAAGCAGAGGGGAGAATGAGAGCAGACGGCCTGGGCTTGGCCGCTGTTTCGTGCGCCCGCGGATGTTGGGTTGCCTGTAGGGTTACGAGCCGGCAGCCATCAACTGCTACATGCCGGTAATGCTGGGCAGCTCTGCTCTCCTCGCAGATGGCACACCGCTTCGAGGTTGGTATCACGCGCCGCGCTGAGGGCAAGGAGGGTCGCGCGTTCATCGGAGCCATGACTGAGGAGAAGTCTGTCGAGCTGGCTTCGAAGATTGCCAGCGAGGGCTTTGTCTTCATGGTGCGCTACTGCTGCCTTGGCGGTGCTGCATGCGTGGCTGACCCCTGAGGTGCTTGGCGCGCCTCAAGGATCTGCTGCCTTGGCGGTGCTGCATGCGTGGCTGACCCCTGAGGTGCTTGGCGCGCCTCAAGGATCTGCTTTACCGGGCTGCATCGGCACGCGTGTTTAACAGGCGAGTGCACATTGCGTTCAACTGGGGTGCCTGCTGACGTGTTGGTCTCTTGAAATCGCTGCTGGTTGCCCGCAGGTTGGCGCCCTGCTGGTGTTCGTCGAGTATGACCGCAACCGGAAAAAAGAGGTCCTAAAACAGCGGCGCGAACAAGCGGAACGTCATGAGATCATGGAGCGCGCCAGGGAGGAGCGCGAGGTGAGTGAGGGCGTACGACCGTGCCAGTTGAGTGCGCACGCCTGACAACGAAAGGAAGGGCGGGTCGTCCTCAGGTCGGCTTGCGTGGGCAACAAAAGCACCCATCTGTTGCGCTGATACAGTCTGGAAGCATGAGCCTGAGAATTCTCCTACAGCCAGGTGCATAGCACCCAAACCCTGGTCCCCCTCAACCACAAACTCTCAGTCCCCACCCTGTTTTTGCGTTTCTCACGTCCTCTTCAGCGCCTGGTCGCGGAGAACCTGCAGCAGCAACACCTGATCGAGCAGCTCGTGTTGCGCGTGGACCATGTGGAGGAGCTCATGCAGGCATGGCAGGAGGATCAGCGGCGGCGTGAGCAGCGAACGGCCTGGGGCGGCTTCTTTGCACCGCGGGGCCTTCAGGGTGGCTAGGCCTTCTCCCTCGCAAGGTTGGGATTGCCAAACTGCTGCCTGTGTTGGCGCCGCAAAATAATAATTGTATGCATTTGTACAAATGCCCCGCTGAGCAAGCGGAGCGCCTTTCAAGCGCTAAGCTCTACTTGTAAGAACCAGTGACAGGCATTCAAAGCATCACAGCAATTGCCCCCCCCTTCAAAAGGCCTGGCGCACGTTACATCAAGCCCGGGGGTCGGGGCTGAGGGGCTCAATCCATCACACAGGTGAATGGAGTCGTCCCATGCGTTGCCACATGCCTTGTACCTCGTGTGCCTTGCCAGGATAATTTCATGACCTGCTGCCTCAGCCTGAGCACGCCCCTGCAAGGGACCATGGCATCCACTGCAGTGCTAACTAAGCTTCATGTGGGTGCGGACGTACGGTGCCTTGGCTGAGCTCATGCACTGCACCTGTGGAGTCGTGTACAGCACTCCCTGGCGCTGCTCGCCTGCGATGCCGAGGAACTACGTGACGTCGCTGTTGAGATGAACACATGCATTTCCTCAGCGGGTTTTGCGATCCTGTCGGTGGTATCACAAGACGCGCCGTTCTCCCTGCCCCGAGCTTGCTACGGTACCTTTTCTTGTCACACGCAGGGCCTCATGTGCCACTGATGACCTGACTCGTTTGCTGTTATCATGTTCGTTCGGTTGTGTCGTGATCACCCATCGAAACACGAGCACTGCTTGCCTAGTAGGACGGCGCCAGACTTTCCTGCGTTGGCATCGTATCGTCCACCCGCGTATCCTGACAGAGACAACAGAGGATCAAGAACATCATACATAAAAAACTGAGAGCGTTACCACCCGTCCGGGAGATGTACGCACAGTGAGCTTTTTGGCGCGCGCACCCGCTTTCTGCACCAAGGGGGTCGTGTCCCCACCTATAGATCTTGGTGTTTCTTGTTAAGCATAGATTTGGTGGCTGGCGTTGGTGGCTGAGGCCTGCGCGACTGGGGCGGCACCTTTACTGTGCAGCCAGCCCGCGGGCAATGCTCGGACATCAACGGGTTACTGCCCTCATACAGTTTACAACCAATACCAACTTTGGATCTGTACCACCACGGCGATCGGCACCACAGATCCATGGACGCAGAGGAGGGCGGCCTCTACATTGGCAGGGCATACGATGCGGCCCTTGCGTCCCCGATCTTCCAAGTGGATGGCGATGCATTCTCAGGCGATGCCAACTACGCCGCAGAGGAGGGTGGCTGGTCGGCAGCGGCAGCACCCGCGTCCGATGGCGCAGCGGCGATCTGGGGCGTCGCAGACATCATCAAGCTGTCGCTCGCTGAGCATGCGCCGCTGCTGCAGCTGAGCGTGTCCAGCTCCGGGCCCAGCCGCATGGGCTGGCCGCGTCCTTCGCAGCAGCGCCTTGAAGAGATCGCGGCAGAGGCAGCGGCGCACAGGCGGAAGCGCACTGCACCCGCCCCTGCAGCGGGCGCGCCGCTGCCCACCCGGCCTGCAACCGATGAAACCCTCGCAAGCGCACGTGCTGTGGCCTGCCCGGCTGCTGCTGTGGTGCCCAAGTGGAGGCGGCCGCACGCACTCGTGATCCCGGAGACGGGGAGCTGCTCGCCCACACAGCCTCGCTCCAGCCGCCGCAAGCTCGTTCTGGAGGTGGGCTTTTGGGGTCGGACGGGTGTAAAGCACAGAGTTGGTGGGGTCATTTCACACAAGAGCGCGGGCAGTTGTGGGGATCTCCTGTACACCGTCCGGCCTGTGGCGTGGCCATTGCCGATCACGTTGCACCCCTTGCATGGAGGAAGTGCACCGCTCTTGCTCTCCAATTCTTATCTGACGCTGCCCTCTCCCACCGCCCCATCTGAAACCGCAGCCCTGCGCCCTGGCCCAGGACCCCAGCCAGTGGGCCCCCGGCGCGCCGCGCGCGCCGCCAACGCCGCTGAGCTCGCCCGTGGCAACACCCGTCCCGGCTGGCGTGCGCCGCTGCCTGGAGGAGACCCCCGCGTTTGCGGCTGGCTGCGGGGCGCCAGCGACGTCGCCACGCGCGCGCGCCGCGTCTGTTGGCGAGTTCCTGTCGCGCATGGAAGCGTCCGCTGCCTGCAGCACCCACAGCGCCTCGCCCTCGCTGGACTCGCTGCCGCCGCCTGCATTCGAGCTGCTGCGCGGCCTCAGCTGCAGCGCGCGCGCTGCGGGGCTCTTGCTCCCCTGATTGGCGCGCCGCTAGGGCACCGCCGCCATTGCGGGGCGCTCGCCTCGCTGTTCTTGCGCTTGATATCGCTGTGATGGGGTGCTTTCCCCTGAATCACCAATCGACATGCTGTCCATCGCCCCATCAGCCGCGCCTTGACGTCCACCTTATCGTGGCTTTCCATCCGAAGCACCGAACCACATAATCTGAGCCGCCTTCCCGGCGGGCGCTCTCGTCTGCATGCCGTTGCCACTCGCCGTGCGCTGTGTGTTGGCACCGCCCAGCCCAACCTGACCTGGCTCTGGGCAAGGTCCTGGCTCGCCGCTTGCACTGACATCACCCTCTCCTTTTTCACGCTCTTCACACCTGCCTGACAAGAGGGCTCGTGCGAAGCGGGGATCAAGCGACCGCAACGCCCTGGCGTTGTGGGCAAAGGACCATCACCACCGCAAACCGCCTCTCCGCCTGCTTAGCTTAGCCGAGGCGCAGCGGGGCCGAGGGTGCGCCGCCTCAATCTGGCGTGCCACATGGCCCCGCCTGCTGCCCCTTATCCCCCACTCCTTGCTGCGCACGCGCACGCAATGAACGGGGATGCTTTTATCATGGCCGCCCCTGGACTTGACCAGCACACCCATTGCGACCCCTGTGTACATTTCGTCGCTGCTGCACGCGGCCTGGCCAGCTGCGTGCGAGCCTGAGCAAGCCGGCCACCCCCAGGCGTGACAGACAGCCCGTCGCGTGGCTGGCTTTTGGTGAAACCGGCCAAGGTGACGGAGGGCCTCTGATTATTGACGGTCCCCCCCGGGGTCTCAGGCCGCTCCTTGGCGTGGGACAAGCGCCCTAGCGCCTCACGCCCAGGCATGTTGTGCCTGCGCCCGAAGGAGCAGGTGCGCCAAGCGCATGCCGCGGCGCCAAGAGTGATCACGTTACACGCTTGGAGAGTGCTCCCTTTGCACCACAGCTACACATGTCTGTCCACCACATCGACACAACCACCTGCATTTTGCGCTGCCAGCCCCCTCACCCCTCGTGCCTCTCAGGGGGAGGGGTCCTTGCCAGCGCTTTCCCGCCACCTGCCAGTGCCCCGGCGCTGCCGCCGCCCGGCATGACCCGTGGACCTCCCGACCCCCGGGAGGTGTCACTGTGCCTCCAACCCCCATGCCTGTGCTCGTCATATACACCATTGCCGACCACACAACCAGCGTCGCCAACTCACACCTTCCGCGGCCGCCGCCGCCTCCTCGTTGGAACGCCCGCGCTGCGGCCTTTTGGCGTGGCGTTGGCGCCGCGCGTCTAGCCTTATCTGTCGCGTGTGCGCGCATCACAGCGCCCGGCGGCGGTGCAGGACTGCCGCGATGCGCGCTGCTCGCCCCACCTGCGCACCGGGTGCGGCATCTGCGAGCATGTTGGCGCATGAACCCACGGGACAGCAGCTGCTGCTGCTTATTCACCCTTTTGTCGTATCCAGCTGCGCCTCGGCATCTTTGCGCTTCACCTCAACCAATGACGGTTGCACCTGCATTACCGCTGCGGCGTGCTGCCCACTGGGCAGGTGCTGGCGCGAGCTCGCCCGCCTGCCCGCCTGCCCGCCTGCTGCGCGGTGGCACTGATCAGAGCGCAGGGCCCCAGCTGAAGGCTGGTGCGCTGCGCTGCACGTATATGCCTCCCATGCCAAGCATACGTTTTGCGTCTGCTGCCTGCGTCACTGGCGCTGACCGGGGCGTAAGGTGCGCTCACGCCGCCCTGCATTAGGGGCGGCTGTGCGCCCTCGCCTCCTTGCTAAATGACACGGCCCCCCGGCGCAATGCATTCGTTTGCAGCCGGCCCCAATGGGCCTGCGCAGCAACTGGCAGCCGTGGATTGTGGTGCGTGGTGTGCTCATGCGCGCGTTGTCACGCGCACACGCCACGACCCTGCATCAACGCAGCCCGGTCTGCCGCGCGGCCCGTCAAGGATGGGCATGGCTTCCAGCCGCTGCGGCTGCTAGCCGTCACGCGCGCTTTGTGGGCTGCCCGTTTCAAATTGATGTTCCGCTCCTGCGCCCCGCCTGGCCGCCCTTTTGCGTTCACTTGCGGGGCGGGATGCTTGGAACCGAATCGTGGGGACCGCCGCCTCGCGTCGCCACGCCCAGCTCTCGTACGATGCGCGCTCACCACCATGCCGGGATGGCCGCTGCGGGCCCTTTCAAGTGCCGCGCAGCGGACCCCGGGTCGCGGCCCTGCTGACGGCTCCCCGGTGCCCTCAACGCGGCCCCAGCAGGAGGCGCGTGAATGTCGACCAACACTGTGATACGCCGCACGCATGCAATACCCCACACAGCGCACGCGTGCGTTCTTGTGCACGCGTATGTTGCGGCGCGGGGCGCGAGGACGAGCGCCGGACTGTGCACGCTGCGGGTCAGAGGAATGACACCAGAGAACAAGACCAAGGGGGCCTGCGGCACCCCCACCTGCAACGCGCACGCGCCGGCCTCGCTGCGGCGCGTTAACAGCTTCTCACGGGGACGCATGTGAGGCGCAGCTCTGACACCCTCGAGCCCCTTCACACTTACAATTTGTCCGCGCCTGCCCCGCCCGTTGGCATGGGCGGCGCCCCTCACCGCCATAACCTAACCTGCCCGGCGCCCACCCCGCTTCGCAACGTGGACCACGAGAGCCGTGCCAACTCACGGGCCCCTCGGGCCCCAACCATGCCCGGGCCCTGCACCGCGCCTTGGCCACCGCCGCCCGCCTTGCTGGCTGGCCCAGTCTGTGAACCACGCCGTACCGCGGCGGCTGCGGCAGGCCTGCGCGGTGCCTGCGCCAAGGGTGGACCCCTCATAGCGTGACGGCCGGGCGCCCCACCTGCCAGCGGTGGGTCGCTTTTGTGGCCTTTTTGGTGATCGTCAGTCTGTTTTTTCCATGTACTGCTGTGCACACCGCATCACTTGTGTCATGTTCCCGACGCCTCCCGCTAAAACCGTGTTCATGCGCGGCACGCCCCGCGTGCTGCCCGCGTCGCGCGGCGTTTGGGGCCACTGGCTGCCCCCCTGCCAGTGGCTGCCCCTGCCAGCGCGCCTGCAGCGCCGGGTTGGATGCACCCACCTGCCACCCAGCTGAATTGGACTGACATAATGACGGACGCTAGCCCAGCACACACCCGTGCTGAGAGCAGCCTGCTTCGAGCGCGAAATTGGCCCTGGCTGGCCCTACCCTGGTATCGCTGGCCCGGCATTTCCGCGCCAGCATGCGCAGTTACCAGGAGGGGGCCACCAGGCAAGCCATCTAGCAAATGATGACGACTGCAAATGACCCTTGTAAAACGTACCTTCGCTACTTCGACGGCGGCACAAGCCCGCAGCAGGCAATTCATACATATCATTGCAGGGCAAAGCAGCTCAACACGTCGCGCCCTGACAGCCCAGTTGGCTGGTCGCGCCCTGAAAGCCCTCATGGCCCGATTGGATGCTGCCAGCCCTCTCAGCTGCCGCTGCCGCGCCCTGCACTACTCCCTGCTCCCCACCGCCCGCTCCGTCCCAGCCGCGCCCCTGAGCAGTGCCACGACCGCCTCCTCCTCCGCCTCATCCTCCGGCAGCGCCCCGCCCTGAGCCGCCAGCAGAGCGTCCGCGCCCAGCAACAGCAGCAGCCGCACCGTCGACAGGTGGTTGCCGCGCGCCGCTGCGTGCAGCGCTGTCTCTCCTTCGGCGTCCCTCAGGTTCACGATTGCGGCCAGCTCAGCGCCCCCGTCACCCGTGCCGCTGCGCGCCCCTCCCTCGTCCGCCCCTGCCGGCCGCTGCATGCTGTCGCTGTCGTCCCCAGGCCCGTCGGCAGGGGCAACCAGCGTCGCTGCCACCCAAGGCAGCTGCCGCGCAGCTGCAGCCGCGAGCTTGGTCAGGATTGAATCATAGCCGCCGGCCGCCGCATCATGGAAGGGTGTGGTGCCGTCCTCGGGGTTTGTGGTGGCGGCCGCCGCCCCGGCAGCCAGCAGCTGGTCGACACAGGCCTCACTGCCGTACAGAGCGGCTATGTGGCTGAGGGAGTAGCGGGTTGCAGTGTGCGCACAAGTGCGTGTGTGCGTGAGTCCGTGTCCGATTGCATGTGTGCATGCGTGCACATGTGCGCGCGCGTGTGTGCGCGTGTGACAGAGTGTGTGTGTGTGTGTGTGTGTGTGTGTGTGTGTGTGTGTGTGTGTGCGCGCGTATGTGTGTGTGTGTGTGTGTGTGTGTGTGTGTGTGTGTGTGTGTGCGCGCGTGTTCATGCGCGCACACGCATGAGTACATCCACGCATGCCTTCATGCGTGGGCGCGCTCCTAATGGACAGAAACTCAAAGATTGCTGGCTCAAGCACAACACTCCCCCCCTCCTCCCGCCCGCTGCTTGTCTTCCGCCCTGCCAAGCCACCTCAGCAGGCTCACAGGGCCGTGTCGCCGTCGGGGCCCGGCACGTTGGGATCCCAGCCGCCATCCGCAAGCTGCTGCAGCAGCTGGGCCAGCTCCTCGGGTGCGTCGGCCTCGCAGGCCTCCAGCACGGCTGTCAGGACGCCGCCTGTCGGGTCTTGCCAGTCCTCCTGGGGCGACGCCATGACGACCGGCAGCGGGTTGTGCCCAGGCACGTTGTAGGGTGGGTCAGGCGATGTTGCGGCACCAGCAAATTGGGATATGCGAGAGAAATGACTGATGATGAGAGCGCAGCTGCTCCCTGTGGCTGCACAGCTGCGTAACGCTCGGCCCTTGAAGCCAACCAAGCCCACGCCCAGACCCAGCCATCACAACCCCACCTCATCCTCCAGCTCGTCTTCGGCCCTCACGTCTCCCAGGTGCAGCCCAAGCCCCGCAAGCTGCTGCTGTAGCCACGCATAGTCTACGCCGCTCGCATCGGCTGCAAGGCCCGCAACTCCGGCACCGCCGCCACTCGAGGGGCCGCGACCCTGCTCTGGCGCATCGCCTGTGCCGCTCCCGCCATTTTGCTCAGGCGCACCCATTTGTACAGATATTGTGTTCTTTGTTCACTACGCTCTAAGCTTGAGCAGTTGACCTGCTGGTGCCGCGCTATTTTCCGGCGTCTGATCTCTGATCCAAGTCGTGAACAGCGCGATCAATTATACTATTGTGAGCTATTGTGCGCCGTCTGCCAGAACTCGAGGCTCTGCAGGATGGGGAAGAAGGACAAGAAAGCCGGAAAGGGGGCCGCTGGGGTCGACATCCCGTGGAAGCAGATAGACAAGGACCCGGTATCCTTTCTGGTTGCTCCCGAGGTGCGATAAGACTGCTGCCGACGCCGCTGCGCCTGCTGCCGCCGCCTCTCCTGCTGTCGCTGCCGTCACCAGAGCACCGCGCTGCGGCCGCCGCTGACCAGCAACGCAAAGAGGCAACCCCAAGCTCTCCACGCCCTGATGATGCAGCTAGTGGTCAACATTGAGCCACCGCGGCGGCCACCACATGGCCTGGATGTCGCCGGCTGGCACGCCCAGCGCCCAGGCCTGAGCCCCAGCAACCACTCAGCCTCGTGACCCCGCCCCGCCCGCTTGCACCCGGACCGGCTGCCCCTCCGACACCTCAGACCTCGGAGACCTTCTTCGCGGAGTGCTGGGAGCGCGCGCCCCGCGTGTTCAAGGCCACCCCCGCGCGCGCCGCGCTGGCGCGCCGCCTGACGACCCTGCCCACGCTGCTGGCGTGGCTCAAGGAGCTGGAGGCGGAGGGCGGCGCGTCGCCGCTGCTGTTCGGCCGCGACGTCAACGCGGCGAGGTACCGCGACGGCGTGAGGGAGACGCCCAACGGCCCGGGGGAGGCGGATGCGGCCGCACTGAAGGTGCTGCACGACCAGGAGGGCTGCACCCTGCAGGTGGCTGGGGCGGGTTGTCGGGGACGGGGGCTGGGCGTGCTGTCGCATGGGGTTGAGCAGTGGGAAATCCACTCTGACCAGGATGTGTGCTGTCCTGATATGTACTGCGCAGCCCGATCAAAGCATGAGGGCGTCATTTGGTTGCAACGGTGAAGTTGGGCGTCGCTTTGTATGCAGGATCTGAGGTCTCCCCGGGTTGCGCATGCTGGTGGATAGGCGCAGGGCACAGCCAATCCCCCTGCCCTCCCCCCCCCCCAAAGCCGCAACTTTTGACTCCGAGGCCTGCCACCCTCGCACCCGTGCATCGCCTGGCCACTCACCGCGCCGTCCTGCCCCTCAACCCAAAACAGGTCCACCAGCCGCAGCGGTGGGACGACGACTCGTGGCGGCTGCTGGCTGCGCTGGAGTCCAAGCTCGGGTCCCTGGTGGGGTCCAACGCCTACCTCACGCCCCCCGGCACCCAGGGCCTCGCCCCCCACCACGACGGTGAGGCCGCCACCTGATCAAGAGGGGCCGCCCTTGCGTCCACAGCCGTGGGCCGGCAGCGGCGGGCCTAGCCACGCCGCAAGCGCCGCCTGCACCACCGCTGTACTGGTCAAAACAGCAGGTCCTCAACATGGGCGTGCGCCTTCTCCCCTGCCGGCCCACGCCCCCGCAAGCATGCCCCTCTCTTTCAAACTCAGCAGCAGCCCCGCTCTCCGCCCGTCCGTCCCCTCCCCCCTTGCGTCCAGATGTTGAGCTATGGGTGCTGCAGACTGCGGGCAGTAAGGCCTGGAAGTGCTACGCACCCCTGGCCGGCCACGAGCTGCCCAGCAAGTCCAGCGGCAACCTGGAACAGGCGCGCTGGCCAGGGAGGCTGCTTTTGGGAGGGGGCAGCGGGGCGGGCGGTGAACGCGCGGGTGCATGCCGGCGGTTGCTGGTGTGCGCAGCCACCAGCCGCCGCAGCCGGTGTGGTTGGGGTGCTGCTTAGGCCAGGGTTGAGCCGGCTAGTCCGCATGTCAACATTGCACCCTAACACACCAAACTGTGTTTGACAAACACACTCTGTGGTGTGTTTGGGAGC